TAAAATCTACCATTTGATTTTTGATGTCGCTGCATGGATACTTTATGAATGCTTTCTTTTTCCTTGATCAACTGTTTTCTGCAGAGGCTGGCTATGTGGCTACCCCCATAGCTATGGTCCAGGCAGCCATGACTCTTCTAAATGATGCTTCTGATCTGCCTAAGGCGTAAGTTTGGTTTTCTTCCAATTAGAAGATATCTTTTTTATCTGTGTTATATTTTAGCTTATTTTGATTTGATTTTCAGGCTTTGGGTTTGCACATAAGCATTTATAGTTCAGTTCCTTTGCTCCAAAAATATAGGTAAATTAAAACTTTGAGAAGGACAGCTTCTTACCAGCCCAGAGCTGGTCCCAGAGGAACAACTGTGGAGGTAAATGAGAGGAGACAGAAAAGTCGGAGAGCCATAAGTTAACTTCAGCTCTTTATAAAAATAGCTCAAGTCCAGAGTCAGCCACACAAAACAGGTCCCTGTTGTTAAGTAGTATTACTAGGAGCCTCCAGTCAGTGCTAACCCTGCCTGACACCAGCAAAAGCGGACCCATGGGATCCTGGCTAGATGGTGATCAGACGTACTGTCTTACTGGAGCATTTAGCTCTCACCTGAAACGAGGCTGGCTTTTCAAATGAGCAGAGTCCTGCTGCTGAGAAGTAAATCGGGCATGACCCAAAACAGGATTAATAAAAGTAAAATTTGTACATAGTAAAACCTATATACAATTGTTTCAAATACTTAGGTCCCCCTTGAAAATATTTAGCATTTATGAATGTTAGCTATCACATTTTTAAAAACTTCTTTTTCATCCAATTTAAGTTCTGTTTACACTTTAATAATAATTGATTACCTAAATTTATTCCATTCGGGTCTTTCTTTAATCCCCCCGAGTCTGAGGACTGTCCTTATAAACAACAGCGGTTCTTCAGGGTGATGGCGCAGAGTGCGCCTTGGACACAGGCATAGAATGGAATAGAATGGCATAGAATGGAAACAGGATCACCAGGAACGGAGCCAGTCTAGATAGGGTTGGCTGTGGTGCAGGTTTCTCCTGACTAATAGCTACTTGCTCATTTGGCTGGTTTTAGGAAGGAATCAAAGGTAGCCGTGATGAGCAAGAAGACTCGGGTTTTCCTGGGTTCTGTAGCAATTTGATAGTGAGGCCTGTGAAACAGGAGACTGGAGAGGAGCTGAGTGCACTGTTTCTTGTTGTTGTTTTCTAGGGGCGGGGTCTTCACACCTGGAGCAGCTTTTTCCAAAACAAAGTTGATTGACAGACTCAACAAACACGGTATTGAGTTTAGTGTTATTAGCAGCTCTGAAGTCTGAACACTAGAAGAATTAACTGAAGTCATAACATGCGCGAATTAACAGCTTCTCTATTTGATATTTGAAACTCTTCTGTAAGCCTGAGTATATGTGGAAACGATTGTCAAATCTAAAATATCTATATATTAAAAAGCAGGAAATTGTCCTAGCTTACCCTAAATTTCAAATCTCAGCTGATTTTGTGATTTTATTGCTTATAAGAGAGAACTCATATTTGACGTATTTTTCACTGATGTGTTCCTGGTAGGTGTTCATGAATGAGCTGGCAGGTCTAAGGGGAGGCGGTGCCCGCCGTGTGCTGCAGCAGCGTTGCTCCGGAGGGCGCGCAGCAGCGTTAGTGTCCGACCGGAGCTGCCGCTTGCCTTACCGCAGCGGGAAGGGAATCTCACCTTCCAGTGAGTGTCTCCACGTGCTGTCTTGAGCCTTTGCTAAATGAAACTGCACTCTTTGCTATTTTTGCCTAGTTTTTCACCCATCTACACTGATTTTGGACTGTTACCTAAGTTGAACCTAAGTTGAAAAATAAAGGGTTGTCAATTGAATGGTGGTTTAATGTTTGGACCTGCCTGCGTATTTGTATAGTGGTAGAAACGTGCTGCTTAAGTGGCCTAACCTGTTTCTTGCCAATAAGTGGGCTTATCATTTTATCTTTACCTAATTCTATGTCTGTGACTAGGTTTAAGGATACAGCTTATAAGTTGCTGTCAATTTCCACTGCCTAAGCAGAATTTTTCTCTAATTTACTTTTTGTATTTTAACTAGGTTTTACATGGAAGCCCTAAAATAAGGCAAAAGACTTTTCCTTTTGTAATAAGCATATAATAAACACATATATACAGAGCGATCATGTTGTTCGTTAACTAAACAAGACAGCCACTCCTTTATGGAATTTCTACTAAACAGTGAGGAACATGAAATATTTAGGACTATGATTCGTGTTGGGAGACCCTTCTGCTCTGCCTGTAAGAAGAAGGGGGGCATCTAACTCGACGATGGGGATTCTTGGTGGCAGTACTGCCCAGCCTACCTCTGCTTCCTCTGTCCTGGCCTGGTCGTCACAAGATACACATCCTCAGCTGTGCCCTAACTTGTGGGACCTTAGGAAAGGTTTTACCAGCTCTAAAATTAGAAAGTGGTGCCGGAGCAATCGAGCCCGCGACGAGCTGCACATCCGAGTCACAGAACAGCAGTGGGTTCCTCAGTGCCTCCAGGTTCCTCGGTGCCTCCCGGTTCCTCAGTGCCTCCCGGTTCCTCAGTGCCTCCAGGTTCCTTGGTGCCTCCAGGTTCCTCGGTGCCTCCAGGTTCCTCGGTGCCTCCAGGTTCCTCAGTGCCTCCAGGTTCCTCAGTGCCTCCAGGAGTTTGCATTCAGGAGGTCAGGAGGTCGGAGCCTCCGTGTTTTTGATACGCATTTGGGAACCGCTAGGTGAAGCTATCCTGTCCCTGTTTCTAGCTTTTGCAATGTATGCTCGAGCGTTGACCCTGATTCTGAAGGTAGCAGTGTGACCCCATCCTCTGGCTTGAGGTACGTGTGTGTCTCGTCCTGATTTTCCTTTTAATCCCCCAAGGTTCTGCCTGCTCCCATTTGCTGAAAGTATATGACTCACCTCAGGTGAGTAAACTGCTAATTGTCAAAAACGTTGAGGCTCAGTTCAAAAGACCTCCCTCGGCCTGGCCACTGGGAGTAGGAACGGCTTCTGTCTTTTGAACTGAGTCTGCCCGGCCTCTACTGTTGCTGCGTCTCACTAACAGAGTCTTACCAGGGTTCTGTGAGGCCTTTGCTGGCCCTGTCCTGGCTGTCACCACGAGGTGCTCCACATGCGGGCTCCACGGTTACAGCAGTTTTTTCAGTTCACTTGTGTGTGTGGTCAGGACCTGAGCTGCAAGCAAAACCCATGCCTCCCGTACGAATCCCTGGACCCTGCTATTGAGCTGAAATCACTAGCCCGGATTCCCTTGGCTTTCTAGAGAGGTTCCTTTTTGGAGCCCTTGACAGCCTCTCCTGCCAGTGCAGCTTCAGCCTCATCCCATTTGACTTCCTTAACTTTATATTTTAGGGAGCAAGGAGTGAGGTTGTCACCCCCTTATTTTCTCCTTCCTGATTTTTTCTGCATATCAGCCAGGTATGGTCCTGCACCGTCAGGCAGCAGGCCATCATGGTTAGGGATGCAGGCTCTGGCATCAGCCTCTGTGCTTACAATGGCCTAGGCAAGTTACTCAGCTTCATCGGATTATTGTGAGAATTAAATGAGCTAACATGGTTAGCACTTGGATTAGTGCCTGGCACATGGTGTAAGCACTTACTAAGTTTCAACATTATCACTACTGTTGTTATTAGAAGTCTTTGGGCTGGGCACGGTGGCTCATGCCTGTAATCCTAGCACTTTGGGAGGCCAAGGCAGGTGTATCACTTGATGTCAGGAGTTTCGAGACCAGCCTGACCAACATGGTAAAACCTCGTCTCTACTAAAAATACGGAAATTAGCTGGGCCTGGTGGCAGGTGCCTTGTAATCCCAGCTACTCAGGGAGGCTGAGGCAGGAGAATTGCTTGAACCCAGAAGGTAGAGGTTGCAGTGTGCTGAGATCACACCATTGCCCTCCAGCCTGGGCAACAGAGCAAGACTCCGTCTCAAAAAAAAAAAAAAGAAGAAGAAGAAGAAGAAGTCTGTCTTTGGCCCCAAAAGGTTTTTTTTTTTTTTTAAAGTTCAGGGGTACATGTGCAGGTTTGTTATATAGGTAAAATGACAAGGGGGTTTGTCATACAGATTATTTTGTCACCCAGGTATTAAGCCTAGTCCCCATTTGTTAGTTTTCCTGACCCTCTCCTTCCACCCACTCTCCACCCCTCTGAGAGGTCCCAGTGTGTGTTGTTCCCCTCTGTCCATGTGTTCCCGTCACTTAGCTCCCACTTATAAGTGAGAACATGTGGCATTTGGTTTTCTGTTCTTGCATTAGTTGGCGTTAGTTTGCTGAGGATAATGACCTCCAGCACCATCCATGTTCCTGCAAAGGACATGATCTCATCCTTTTTATGGCTGCGTGGCATTCCATGGTGTATATGCACCACATTTTCTGTATCCAGTCTACTGTTGATGGACTTCTAGGTTGGTTCCATGTCTTTGCTATTGTGAATAGTGCTGCAGTGAACATACACACGTGTGTGCCTTTATAATAGAACAAGTTATATTCCTTTGGGTATATGCCCAGGAATGGGATTACTGGGTCGGAAGGTACTTGTTTTGAGGTCTTTGAGGAATAGCCACACTGTTTTCCACAACGGTTGAACTAATTTACACTTTCACCAACAGTGTGTAAGCATTCCTTTTTCGCTGCAACCTTGCCAGCACTGTGTTTTGTTTGTTTGTATTTTGAGACGGAGTTTTGCTCTTGTTGCCTGGGCTGGAGTGCAATGGCACGATCTTGGCTCACCACAACCTCTGCCTCCTGGGTTCAAGTGATTCTCCTGCCTTAGCCTCCCAATTAGCTGGGATTACAAGCATGTGCCACCATGCCCGGCTCATTTTGTATTTTTAGTAGAGTCGGAGCTTCTCCACATTGGTCAGGCTGATCTCAAACTCCCGACCTCAGGTGATCCGCCTGCGTCAGCCTCCCAAAGTGCTGGGATTACAAGCATGAGCCACCATGTCCAGCCTAGCATCTTTTATTTTTTGACTTTTTAGTAATAGCTATTCTGACTGGTGTGAGAGGGTGTCTCATTGTGGTTTGGGTTTGCATTTCTCTAATGATCAGTGGTGTTGAGCTTTTTATCATATCCTTGACTAACACCCATCAGTCAATTTGTGGAATCAGGATTGGCTTCAAGATAGACTAACTCCTAACAGAGCTTTCACTAACAGTTATAATCCTTGAACCGCAGACCCTACACTGAAAAGGTCCCATCATACGGGCACTCCTGCTGCTGAAAAAATCGAACATAACAGTATTTCAGATAAACTTATGAGAAGAGAATAATAAGTAGAGGTAGAATTCAAACTTGCTCAGAGCAAGATACAAAATGAGAGACATGAAATAACCATTGTCTGTAGGTCTGACAGCAAGCAATATAGATAAAAGAGCTTCATTTGAAGTTTTGAACTGTTTACCATAAAAATATTAATGGTGAATGCTTATCAATCACGTCTGTGTTTCAGGCACTGTTCTAAGTGCTTTACGTTCATTAACCATTTGCAATAAATACTGTTATCCTTCCCATAAAACAAATGAGGAAAGAGGGGCTTAGAGAGGGAAAGTCAGTGGCCCCAAATCCTGCAGTTAGTAAGTGATGGACTCAACCGGGATTTCACCTCGGCAGTCTGATCCCAGAGCTCCGAGTGCTAATCATTCGCCCTCTCCCTCCTCCCACCCTCCAACCTCAAATAGACCCCAGTGTGTGTGGTTCCCCTCTATGCGTCAGGAACGGAGGGCCATTCAAGCAGCCTTTAGGTTATGGAGATGATTTACAATCACATGGAAAGAACGTTTTGCTTAAAACTGGTAGAAGAAATAGGTAAAGTAAGTGGGAAATGAGGTAAGCTTGTTAGCTACACAAATCATCTTCACAACTTGAAGCTTGAATATCTTCAGTTTTTAGTTGGTGTGTCTTCACTACTTGACATGCAGTAAATATTCTCTCTTCTTTTTCACTATAAGAGCAACATCCTTTTTCAGTTTCCACAAGCTGGATTCAAGTAGATCCCCCAAATCCTTAAACATCTGTGACCGTTGGTTTACGAATGGTCGAAGCATTTGATCATCTTCCTAAAAGAAGAAGTGAAAAAAATGATAGTGATAGACTTCATGTCATCAGAGTAAAGACTATTGTGTGTATGTGAGTGGGGTGCCCAGTAAGTTCCCCTCAGGGATAGAAAACTGCATTTGAAAGCTGCTAGCAGAGGCAGAGCGTCACCTCGGAGCGGCTGTGTTTCAGATGACCCTAAGTTACTGCCAGTAGGGAAAACGAGCGAGGTAATTCAGATATTTTCAGTTGGAATGTTACTTGCATAGTGTTTTACACTGTCAAAGTAGTACTAAAGGAGTCTTAAGGAGCCAGTGGATGTGGGAGCTCTCCCATTGGTAGGGTTTTGCCAGTGCTTCCCCTGACCAGTGGAACAAGTGCCCCTGAGAACTGGGGATGGCCTGGGGCAGAGTCCTGGAGACAGATGGTGGAGGAGATGGCACCGCACTGGCTGCAGATGAGAACGGCAGAGAGCAGGTAGTATGACGCGGCACTGGGATTCAGTTTCTGTTTCCCTGAGTATCAGCGAAATGCCTGTTCAAATCCTTTGCCGATTTTTTCTAATGTGCTTTCCAACATATTATCTTTTTTTTTTTTTTATCTTAAAAGTAATTGTTTGTTCTGAATACTAATGCTTGCTAAATAATACTAATATATTTTCCAGGCTGTGGTTTATTTGAAACTCTGTTTATGGGGTCTTTCATTTAACCAGTTATTCTTTTTTATTGTGAGATACATAGACCAGAAAAGTACCCTAAATGTATTGACCGGCATGAAGTGAACACACCTGCTCTAGAGAGCCCACTGCCTGGAACGCCTCCTGTCACCTCCTCCCCGTCCCAGAAGCAGCTGCCAGCCTGACTTGTGTGGTCCCCGTTTTCTTGCCTTTGTCAGTAGTTTTGCCACCTGGAGTATATCCCTGAACAGTCTATTTTGCCCTCTTTGGATGTTTATAGAATCGCATTGGATGTCATCTTTCATAACTTGGTTTCCATCACTATTGGGACACTGTTCGTGTTGCCTGTGGCTGTTGTTCATTATTTTCATGGCACTGTAGTGTTACACAGCATAGAGGCGCCAACGTTTACTGCCTTCTGTGAACGTATATTAGGGATGTTTCCGGTTTGGGGCTACTATGGAAGAGGGCTTTAGAACAGCAGTGCACATGAACTAAGATTGCGGTCGTGTTTTTCAACTGGCCCCTCATCTGAACCACAGAACAGAAGTGATCTGAAGAACTGTTTTCTCTGTTCTTTCAAGAATGCTGTGTAACTAGTGCCGTCCTAGACGTGTCTGACAGAGTGAGCGTATTTCATACGCCAGATGCCTCAGTGCAGCAGGTTCTCCAACTTGAAGGCAGAATCATGGAGAGGGTTTGTTGAAACACACGTTACCAGGCCTCACACCCAGAGATTCTGATTCAGTAGGTCTGGGGTGGGGCCCTGGAATTTGCATTTCTGACAAGCTCCTAGATGCTGCTGAAGCTGCCAGGCCATAGGGCTCACCTTGAGAACCTCTGCCTGAGGCATTAGGGCTTGAGTCTCTGCAGAACCAGTTCGCCCGTGAAGGAGGAAGAGCTGGATTGCAGCCTTCTAGGTTCTAGTATCTTCAGCTTTTAATAAGTAAATGCCAAATAATTTTCAAATGGTTGTGCCAGTTTATACTCCTCTCAGCCATACGTGAGAGTTTCCGTTACTTCATGTCTTCACCACAACTTGATATTGTCAGGCTTTTCAGTTTTTGCCAGTATGGAAGGTTAATAATGGTATCTCATGGTGGTATCAGTTAGTATTTTCCAAACTATTAATGCGATGAAGCACTTTTCCATGTATTGATTGGCATTTTTAATCTCCTCTTTGGTGATGTTCCTGTTCAAATCTTTTGACCGTTTTTTTTTTCTACTGGGTTGTCTATTTTTCTTTTTGGGTAGTAGTAGTTCTTTATTTTGGATATTAGTTCATTCTATGTTAAATGTGTTACAAAGAACTTTTCCCATTCCTTCTGGCTCTTTCATTTGGTGTCTTTTGATGGACAAAGTTCACCATATTAATTTAGCTGAACTTACCAGTCTCCCTCTTTAAAGCTAGGGGTGTGTGTGTGTGTGTGTGTGTGTGTGTGTGTGTGTGTGTGTGTTTGTGATGCATAAGAAATCCTTTCCCTCAAGCCTGTAATCCCAGCACTTTGGGAGGCCGAGACGGGCGGATCACGAGGTCAGGAGATCGAGACCGTCCTGGCTAACCCGGTAAAACCCCGTCTCTACTAAAAAATACAAAAAAATTAGCCGGGCGAGGTGGCGGGCGCCTGTAGTCCTAGCTGCTCTGGAGGCTGAGGCAGGAGAATGGCGGGAACCCGGGAGGCGGAGCTTGCAGTGAGCTGAGATCTGGCCACTGCACTCCAGCCTGGGCGACAGAGCGAGACTCCGTCTCAAAAAAAAAAAAAAAAAAAAAGAAATCCTTTTCCACTGTGAGGTGGTAAAGACAACCTCTTAAAGTATCTTCTGAAAGTATTAGAGGCAGGGCGTGGTGGCTGATGCCTGTAATTCCAGCACTTTGGGAGGCTGAGGCTGGAGGATCGCTTGAAGCTAGGAGTTCGAGACCAGCCTGGGCAACATAACAAGACCCCATCTCTATTTTTAAAATACTTAAATAAATAAGTAAATAAATAAATAAAAGCATTAGGGTTGTGCCTTCCACATTTAGCTCTTTAATTCTCACCTGAAATTGATTTCTGGGGTAGTTTTAGATAGGAATCCAGTTTCATTTTTCCCCATACATATTCCTAATTCCCCTAGCACTGTTTTTTTTTTTTTTTTTTTTTTTTTGAGACGGAGTCTCGCTCTGCCGCCCAGGCTGGAGTGCAGTGGCCGGATCTCAGCTCACTGCAAGCTCTGCCTCCCGGGTTCACGCAATTCTCCTGCCTCAGCCTCCCCAGGAGCTGGGACTACAGGCGCCCGCCACCTCGCCCGGCTAGTTTTTTGTATTTTTTAGTAGAGACGGGGTTTCACCGTGTCAGCCAGGATGGTCTCGATCTCCTGACCTCGTGATCCGCCCGCCTCGGCCTCCCAAAGTGCTGGGATTACAGGCTTGAGCCACCGCGCCCGGCCTAGCACTGTTTATTGAAAAGTCCATCCTTGCCACATTGATTTGCAGTTCCTCTTGCTTGTATATCAAGTCTGTAGTCCTGAATAAATCTGTTTCTGAGTTTCTGTTCTTTTTCTTTGGTGATTTATCTATCTTTGGGCCAACACCATACCTTACTGCCTCTGTTACAGTGGCATTGAAATGAAGTGTTGATGTCAGGTAGGGCAAGTGTTTCTGTCCTCTTCTTGGGTCTGCTCTCATCCTGGCTAGGTTTTGCTTTTGCAGTTCCATACAAATTGTAGAATTATCTTGTTAGGTTATATTACATTTCATTGGAATTACACTGACTCTTGGGGGAGAGTTGACAGATGTACAGTAACAAATCTTCCAAACCACAGAGAGATGTCAATTTCTCTATCTATTTATATCCTTTCAAACATCTCTCAAATAAGTTTTAAAATTTTCTCCATACAACTCTTACATATTTAATGTCAGCTATAGGCCTAAGTATTCCATATATTTGATGCAGTTATCAATGGTGTCTTTTATTTTAAAAGTAATTTTCTGCTTGCTGCTGTTATATTCAAATACAGTTAATTTTTAAATCTTGATTTTTGTATCCAGCAACTTTGTAATTCATTTATAAATTCTTGGGGATTTTCTGTCTATACAAGCATGTCATCTGGGATAATACTAGAGGCAGCGCAGTGTGGTGGGAGAGTATAGACTCGGGAACTGGGGTCTGGACCTCAGCCCTGCCACAGATGAGTGATGTGTCTTTAAACATGTTCCGTGAACTGTAAAATAAGGTGAATAATAGTACCTGCCTCATAGAGTTGCTGCGAGAATCGAGTCAGTAAATGTAAAGCACTTAGTGTTACATAAGTGTATGCTATTATTGTAATTACTTTTCTTTCCCTTTCCAATCATACTTTGTATTTCTTGCCTTACTGCACTGGTTAGAACCTAAAGGACAGATGTCAAGAAAGCTGGCGTTCCTGACCTCTTGATCTGAAAGGAAATGCTTTCAGTCATTCATCACTAAGCATTTTGTCCACTGTGTGTTTGTCTTAAGATTGCCTTTATCAGATTGAGGAATGTCCATTTTATTCCTAGTTTGCCAAGAATTTTTATTGTCATAAGATGTTTAATTTGGTCACGTTTTTTCTGCATCTGTTGAAGTCATCAAATTATTTTATCTTGTAGTCTCTTAATGAATTACACTTGGTTTTATAATGATAAACTGAACAGGGTAGTCTGTATATTGTATTGTAAAGTGAATGGATTTCAATCATGCAGTGACATGGTTGCATGGAAGCAGCCGGATGTGGCACTAAAATAAAAAGGTCAGAGCAGAGACGGATGGCGGCCTGAGAGGGCGGTAGATTCGCGCTCACAGAGCAGGTCAAGCAAGGCCCCCTGGCCTTGCTCTTCTGCATCAGCACACACATCTCCAAGCTCAGGAAGTACAGTTACATCAAATGTCTAAATTGGATGGAAAGAAATTCTGCGTGCTCCCAGGATTCCAGTTACTTACAGGAGGTTTATACTGTCTCAGTCTGAAAAGCTGCCCTCTTGCCGTGTTCATGCTTTAGTAGAACACCTTCAGAGCCTGGGCGAGTCCTCGGTCGGAGCCAGCTTGCTGTGTGCACATTCAACTCGTGTCCCTGGCGGAGGGCAGTTGCGCAGTCATCCCGCTGACCTTCAGAGTGTCGGAAGGCTTCCGGGCTGAGGCGGAAAGAAAAGGCAGCGTTGATGTATGGATCTCTTTCTTTGGGCATCTCTATATTTATTTATTTTGGTGACATTCTACTACATCAGCATTTATCAGGCACCAGTTTGGATCCATCCAAGGGAAATGAGAAATCTCACAGGGCAGAAGAAAAGAAGTGTCCTGCATTTTCTGTTTATGAAACAAGATGTGAATTAACTCATTTAAAAGTTTATTAAAAGACAAATACACATCCCAAATGTAGGAGGCAAGGGATAAGCTAAACAGCCAAGCCTGGAGCAGTCTCTCACCTTGCCCAGAAGCAGTTTTCGCAAGTGATTCTTTGAGAAGCATGTTCTCCTCTCTCAGGGCTCTGTTGATGTTCCTGAGCAGCTCTGTCTCCTGCTCTAGCTTGAGCAGCTTCAGATAAAGTTCTGGTATCTGGTCTGAGGCCGCCTACGAGAAAACATGTCAGTTTCATCTTTTGCTGTATCATCTGCATATCCTTTGAGACCAGCAATGTTTGCTACCATGGGAAAATCAAATGGGACGGGGGTGTGTGTATGGTGAGCAGGGTTTAAGCACCTCAGGGTACACAGGAGTAAACAAAGAAAACGTTTGTTAAGGGGGAAGGAACGTCAAGCAGCTGTCAGAGATTTTCTAGCCACCTGGGATGCCCATTTTAATGTCATATGTACACACCTGGCTTGGATCCTTCACAGTGGAAATTTTCTTGGTGTCTACCAGGATGTGGCCTTCACCTGTGACCATGAGGCCCTGCTGAGAGCAGCTCAGCTCGGTGCAGCCTTCTGTAGTGGGGACGGTGCAGCCTTCTGTAGTGGGGAGACACACAGTCAAAGAAAGAAACATCCCAGTCGCCCAGCTCCAGTGTCGTGTGAGAAGTTGTTAAAGTAACCACCCTGCTGGACGAGAGCCCGGGAGCCCAGGGGAACAGATGGCTCTGGCCCACCGCTGTTAGGACCCTGACTGCCTCGCTCCTCTGCCTCTTCTGCAGCCCTCAGTGTATGGTATATCTGATGAAAGAATACGTGAGCAAGGTACCTTGAAGGCCCCATAGGTCAACAATAAGGGCATTTGTCTGCAGATAATTCAGAAACTCCTGAGATGCAGTTAAGGCTGCAAATTGGACAGTCTCTTCAATTTGTGGATTCACACTTTTCCATACAGGTTTGGTATAGATAGTGTTTGGAAGGTCGTAAATTCTGTACCTGAGAAGAACATAAAATTTAAAACCAGAAGGGACACATTTGTAAAGAAAAGGGACAGATGAGCCAAAGATTTACAGCCCATGTGTCAGATAAAAGATGACCTGTGATTGATTTTCATGTTTATCAACCTCCAGCACCTTGTTCAACATGGATATCATCACTATGTAGATAATAATAAAATTTTTAAAAGGCCAGACTGGGCGCAATGGCTCATGCCTGTAATCTCAGCATTTTGGGAGGCTGAGGCAGGCAGATTGCCTGAGCCCAGGAATTCAGCCCAGGAGCTCAGGAATACCAGGGCAACATGGTAAAACACCATCTCTGTAAAAAAATACAAAAATTCGGTAGGTGTGGTGGTGCATGCCTGTAGTTCCAGCTACTCAGGAGGCTGAGCCCAGGAGGCGGAGGTTGCAGTGAGCTGAGATTGCTGCACTCCACTGCACTCCAGCCTGGGCGACAGAGCAATACTCTGTCTCAAAAACAAAAAACAAACAAAATGGATTTCAATAAATCCCTTCTACTTAGATAATCAAAAGTGGTTAATTTTCCATGTGAGGCAGTGATTTGGTTTTTGTTCTTCAGAGTCTCCCTTTATTGCCTTTTCTTCCTTTCTTTTTCTCTCTCTTTCTCTCTCTTTCTCTCTCTCTTTCTCTCTTTCGCTTTCTCTCTCTCTCTCTCTCTCTCTCTCTCCCCCTCTTTCTTTCTCTTTCTCTCCCTTTCTCTCTCTCTTTCTCTTTCTGTCTTTCTCTCCCTTTCTCTGTCTCTTTCTCTTTCTCTGTCTCTTTTCTCTTTCTTTCTCTGTCTTTCTCTCTGTCTCTCTATCTCTCTCTTTCTTTCTCTGTCTCTCTTTGTCTCTCTTTCTCTGTCTCTTTTTCTCTTTATCTCTCTCTCTGTCTCTCTTTCTATCTCTTTCTCTCTCTTTCTCTGTCTCTCTCTTTCTCTCTTTCTCTGTCTCTCCCTTTCTCTCTTTCTCTGTCTCTCTCTCTCTCTCTTTCTCTTTCTCTGTCTCTCTTTCTCTCTCTCTTTCTCTCTCTCTCTCTCTCCCTCTCTTCCTCTCTTTCTCTCTTCCTCTCCTCTCTTTTCTCCCCCTCCCCTCCCCTCCCCTTTTCTTTCTTGGTGGAGTCTCACTCTGTCGCCCAGGCTGGAGTGATCTCAGCTGACTGCAACCTCTCCCTCTGGGGTTCAAGCGATTCTCCTGCCTTAGCCTCCCAAGTAGCTGGGATTACAGGCATATGCCACTGCGCCTGGTTAATTTTTCTATTTTTAGTAGAGCAGGGGTTTCACCATGTTGGCAGGCTGGTCTCAAACTCCTGACCTCAAGTGATCCGCCAGCCTCAGCCTCCCAAAGTGCTGGGATTACAGGCATGAGCCACCGCACCTGGCCTGCATTATCTTTCAATATCCTTTAGCCTAGTTTGTTTAAGCATATCTGATGCTTCTGCCATATCATAATACGGTCCTTTTGTTTCCAACTAAAACCCAAAAACTGTTTTGCTTAGATAATACGGTTTTACTGGATATTCTTTCTGATAATTAGAATTTCTGCTTCAGTAAAAAGTTCAGTACAAGGCCGGGCGCGGTGGCTCAAGCCTGTAATCCCAGCACTTTGGGAGGCCGAGACGGGCGGATCACGAGGTCAGGAGATCAAGACCATCCTGGCTAACACGGTGAAACCCCGTCTCTACTAAAAAATACAAAAAAAACTAGCCGGGCGAGGTGGCGGACGCCTGTAGTCCCAGCTACTCGGGAGGCTGAGGCAGGAGAATGGCGTAAACTCGGGCGGCGGAGCTTGCAGTGAGCTGAGATCCGGCCACTGCACTCCAGCCTGGGCCACAGAGCGAGACTCCATCTCAAAAAAAAAAAAAAAAAAAAAAAAAGTTCAGTACACACTGACCACAGGCCAGAGACCTGGAGAGGCATGTGGCCCCTCTATTAAATAGATGGGAAATAGTCACTTAAAGTTAAACAGAGAAACTATGAGGGAAATAGTCATCTTAAACAGAGAAACTTCTCTATTAAATAGATGAGGAAATAGTCATCTTAAAGTTAAACAGAAACTTAAGAAAACTTTGTGATAAGCTCATTTTTAAAACTTGAAGGAAGACTGGGCTGCCTCCCCCGGGGCCACATGGCAGATGGCGTGTGTGGCTCTGTTCCGTGGTGCAGGCTGGCACCCTATCTGAATGCCCCGCTTTGCATCTTCCTTCATCCAGCTGACACCAAGACACCGGACAATGTGAATCTGAAAATCCATCCTCTTGCCTAGCAGCTCCAAAGGGTCGATAACCACATCCTCCTCGCCATGTGTTCTTTTTTTTTTTTTTTTTGAGACGGAGTCTCACGCTGTTGCCCAGGCTGGAGTGCAGTGGCGCGATCTCGGCTCACTGCAAGCTCCGCCTCCCGGGTTCCCGCCATTCTCCTGCCTCAGCCTCCTGAGTAGCTAGGACTACAGGCGCCCGCCACCGTGCCCGGCTAATTTTTTGTATTTTTAGTAGAGACGGGGTTTCACTGTGGTCTCGATCTCCTGACCTTGTGATCCGCCCGCCTCGGCCTCCCAAAGTGCTGGGATTACAGGCGTGAGCCACCGCGCCCGGCCGCCATGTGTTCTACAAACAGAAGAGGTGAACGTTGACCTTGGGTTAGGCTGGGTCCAAGCAAGTTAAGACTGTGATGTTAAGGGGATTAAACAGAATCCTTAAGAGAGAGCTAATTTCACTGAAGACAGGATAGTTAATATCACCAACAGTAGAGTTCATTCATGCATGCAAGAGGCACTAAACAAGAGCCCGTTACCCTGGCACGTCAAAGTAAGACCAGGCTTCTGAAGGATCTCCCTGCCGGGAGGAAAAGGAAGACAGTCTCATGCGATAGATGCACACAGATGTGGATGCTAAACTCACACCGAAGACTTAGGTAGGTCCACAGTGGGACAGAGTGGGAAAGCCAGCGGCCGCCCAGATGCAGCCTCTCCGGTTGTCATTTTCCTTTTCCTCTGTTTCTTTATAGTCAAGAGAGAACCCCAGGCCTACAAGCTCAGACACTGACGTGGACAGCTTTCCAACAAGGGACTGCTGTCCTATCAACCAGGCTCACAAAGTCTGAAACCTTTCCAATTAAATTCATTAATTTGCAACAGGAAATACAATGTGTGATCAGAGCGCTGCTTGGGGTAAAGGCAGTGAGTTGTTGGGCAGCTTGGTTTCTTGGTCATGGAAGCTTGAGGTTCTCTTCTTGAGCTGATTTCTTCTTCAGAAAGATGGAAAGGTTGCACTGAGTGCCTGTGAGGGCCCTGGCACCCAGACCACGCCCCGCCGGCCTCTTGGCTTAGGATTGCTCAAAGACTTTAGCTTTTGTAAAAACTGCCTGTGGCCTAAAGAGGGAAAACAGATGAGTATCCAGAAAGGACAGTAAAGGGTAAGGAGGCAATGTGTAGGACAGAGCTGATAGCTCAGAACAAGCCTGTGCCCACAGAAAGGTCAGGTGACAGCACAGAATGAGGTCGGGCTTCACAGTCCCTACCTCAAGAAAAGGGCTGAGCTGGAAAATCAGCTTCTACTTCTGGCTCCTGAAGCAGGTTGGGACTTCAGCATGGGAAAGCGTCCCGTGCGGCAGATGCCAGGCCCACAGGGCCAGGAGGGGAGTTTGGCTGGGGAGGCCCCACAGTCCACCTGGCTTCTCTCCTGAGGGTCCATTGTTTGGAACCCACCCAGCTCTTTCGGTTTTGTCCAGGACTCTTTCTACTACACCTGCCTCTTTGCTAGATGTCCTCCTCATTCCTTAGGTCCCCAGGGGATAGCAAAAATCAAATTTGTTGAGGCCAAATGGTGAATGAATGAGCTCTTTCGTTTGTCTTATGAATGACCTGTTCAGGGTACCAAGTTGACCACCCGTCAGGAGAACTCAGGCTTGCTCCGGATTTTCCGTGTGTGACTGACCCAGAAGTAGGCAGGGGAAGGAGACACTCACTGTCCTGTCGGGGAGCAGGGCGCTATGCAGATGTGCAGCACCGCCTCCTCCAGCCCGTCACAGTTCAGAAACTCCACTTGCTCCTCCAGCTTCATGCAGTAGGCCAGCGACTGGAGCCAGACGCGAGCTGAGCCCAAGTGGATGACCTCGACAGGATCCCAGAAAGGGTCGTCTTCTGGAGCCACAGGGCTGTTATCTCCATCTAGAAAGCGCTGGTAAAGTTCCTCCATTAGGAATTTCCTATTGATGAACTTGGCTTTTGACCATATCCACACCTGGAAACACAGAGGTATGTCACCAGTGTTTGATTTCATCTGCTGCTCTTAACAATTCATCACTCTGATTTCTCCCAGCACGCTCCCTCCATTGACTGGGTTTGAGGTACTCATGGCCACATCCCACTCTCTCCAAACTTAGCTTTGCTGACGTCAAGAATACCATATTCATTCCTGGACCTGTTGCTTCAGCATCGCTTGAGCCTAGGAAATGACTTAGAGGAGATGATGAAGGGGTCGGAAAACAGACCCTCTCAGGAGAAACGAAGGTTTGGGCTCGTGATGTGCAGAATGGTCCTCAAAGATGCCCAAGTCCAAATCCCCAGAACCTGTGAATATATTACTTTACACGGCAAATGGAAATTAAGGTTTGTCATCAGCTGACCTTCAAATACGGAGATTAGCCTGGAGTATCCAGGTGGCCCCAGTGAAATCACAAGCGTCTTCAGTGTGGCCGAGAGGCATAAGAGAGGGTCAGAAAGAGAGATGACAGTGCCTGCGGGGTCAGAGAGAGGCCATGTGGCGGCTTTGAAGATGGAGGGAGGTGGCCTCTAAAAGCTGGAAAGGGCTGGGAAACGGATTCTCTTCCTCAGGCCCGGAAAGCAGTATAGCCCTGTCGACACCTTGCTTTTAGCCCAGTGAGACCCAATTTGGACTTCTCGTGTAGAACGATAAGGTAGTAAGTTTGTGTCATTTAATGAGCCTGGTCATTCATTAACAGCAACCATGGAAGATGATGCAGGGGTATTAGTCTGGAGAAGAGCTGAGAGGTGGCTCCCCTGCCGTGATTGGTGTGCACACGGGCACACATCCACACGCACAGGAGACACTCCCACAGCCCTCCCGGCCCAGCATGGCAGGCATGCTGAGCTTCATTCTGCAGAGACCCAAGCAGGTGTCCTTCCCTGTTCAGGGGTTCACACCCAGTGCGCAGCAGATCCAGGACAACAGCCTGCCACTGTCTTCCTCCTTACTGGGTGAGGGACAGAGCCTCTGTCAACACTGGGTCTGGAGAGGGGACAAAACCTGAAGCCACAGTATAAGGGATTCCAGGTAGGTAATTTTTAGACCATAAATGTCAGGTAAAACTAGGAACTCCTTTTCTGGGCAACTTGAAAAGCAAAAGCAAAAATCAACAGATAAGTCATTCTATGTATGATGTCTCTTCATAGAAAGGACATTCTCAGGACTCCGAAAACAGATTGCATCTTTTTCTGTTGGCCTCAAAGTGAAGAACCATAGTACTCTCCTAGAGGCAGTCTAGGATCACGAGAGGCAGGGCGGATCACGAGGTCAGGAGATCGAGACCATCCTGGCTAACATGGTGAAACCCCGTCACTACTAAAAATACAAAAAGTTAGCCGGCTGTGGTGGCGGGCACCTGCAGTCTCAGCTACTTGGGAGGTGGAGGCAGGGGAATGGCATGAACCCGGGAGGCGGAGCTTGCAGTGAGCCGAGATCGCGCCACTGCACTCCAGCCTGGGCAAAAGAGAGAGACTCCATCTCAAAAAAAGAAAAGAAAAGAAAAGAATGTGGCGCAGCAGGGAACAACGGGAGTTCTAGTCATTGTGGTTTTTCTGTTTGTGTGTTTTTCTTTTTAATACGTGATCTCACTCTGTCACCCAGGCTGGAGTGCGGTGGCCCAAGCTTAACTCACTGCAGCCTCGAGCTCCTGGGCTCAGGCGGGTCCTCCTGCTTCAGCCTCGGAGTAGCTGGACTGCAGGCGTGCGCCACTGCACCGCCTTATTCTGCTTTTTCTTAAAGACTTTAGGGAACTAAGATCATGGGAATCTAGATAATAAATGAATTCACTGCCTCATTACCTGTGGATATCAGACCACAGGCCTGGTGTCAGTTAAAATTGCATGTCATCCTTGGCCTGAGGAGGAAACAGGTCAGCGAGGCTCCGGGCCAGGCTGCAAGGCCATGCTGACCCCCGCCTGCTCCCGGGTGGGCTCTGCAGGCCTGACTCAGAGTTCCCTGGTGGGATGTGCTGCTCACCAGAGCCAACAGCTGTTGGGTGAATACTGCTGAAAAGTAACCACAAGCTGGCAGCATGCCAGTCAGAAAACCCTCCCCAACCCTCACACAGCCCTGGTTTGCTCCTGGGCTTGTCTGTGATGTGTGACTCCAACAGTTGCACAACACTGCGTCCTCCCTGAGAGCTGCAGCAGCAGTCGCCGTCCACACGGTCAGCGGGGAGGATAGGTGAACACGTACACGATCAGCCAGCAAAGTACCATTCGTGTGTCTAGCTGGGACCCACAGCTGTCTCTGCTGGTCTTCTAGTCTTCAGAAGTACCTGTCTCACATGCACTGCCCACATCTACATACCATGTCGCAAGAGACCCCCACACCACAGGCTTCCAGAAGCCTCCTGAGGAAAGCAGGGCTTCATCTGAGGACAGGTCACTGGCACTAAGCTTGTTTTTTTGAGACAGGGTCTCGCTCTGTCACCCAGGCTGGAGTGTAGTGGCATGATCACAGCTCACTGTAGCCTCGACCTCCTCAGGCTCAGGTGATTCTCCTACCTCAGCCTCCCCAGTAGCGGGGACTACAGGTGCTCACCACCATACTCAGCTAATTTTGTATTTTTTGTAGAGATGGGGTTTCACCATGTTGCCCAAGCTGGTCTCGAACTCCTGAGCTCAAGACGTCCACCCACCTTGGCCTCCCCAAATCCTGGGATTACAGATGGGAATCACTGTGCCGGGCCTAATCTTACTTGTTTTAATGTAAAAATGAACAGTCTTGAGGATGACAGATTGGTAAGATTCATATCTTCATGAGAAAAATGGAAAAAAAACCAAACTGTACAACCCCTTAACAGAGAACCTGGTGTGTTTAAGCAGAAGCAGTCCTATCAAACAGCTGCCTGTCCCAGTGACAGTCCTATCAAACAGCTACCTGTCCCAGTGACAGTCCTATCAAACAGCTGCCTGTCCCAGTGACAGTCCTATCAAACAGCTGCCTGTCCCAGTGACAGTCCTATCAAACAGCTGCCTGTCCCAGTGACAGTCCTATCAAACAGCTGCCTGTCCCAGTGACAGGATGCTGGGCTGAAGGAAAATGACATTTCACCTGAATCCAGGCCCTCAACCCTCCCATACAATTCTCCCAATGATAGTGTGAAAACTCCGTCGCCTGTCCTGTTTCTGGTGATGACAAGCAGGAGCTCACGAATGCCTTCATGTGCACTCAGTAACTCTTCTGCTAGCAATAGTTTAAAAGGCTATTTTTCGAACTATCTTAGACTATAATACAAAATAGAATAGCATAGAAAAGGATTTTTTAGAATTACAAATTTTCTTAAAACAAGGTCTGACGAGACAGGAAACTGCCAAGCCAAATTCTAGGGGAAAGCCTGGCCCCAAAGAGGCACATGGAATATCGGGGCACCAGAGCCACTTTGCCCCAGTGGCCTTTGCTGGAAAAAAAGAAAAATGCAAAGTACAAACACACTGAGGGATCCCCTCCCAGGGCCCCACAGAACATGGCAGAGAAGTCCAGCCTGACTCCCCAGTGTCTGACATCACACAGACCTGCAGGAAAGGGGCCGGTCTCTGACGACCTGGGCTCCAGGAGGATCCTTGCTCGGTTTCCTCCCTGGGGCGGGATCTTGGCAGCCCAGCCCCAGCATCTGGAGGGCGAAACTCCCATGGACAAGGTGGTGGGTGCACAGGTGCTGACCACATGGCACGGACACACATATTTCATTTCACAATTTTTAAAAGCTTTACAAAAATCAGTCTTGGCCCAGAACATTTTGGCAATTTTCGGGCAATGAGCAGAGGAGCAGAAAAGTGAAGCTCCAGTTGCTGAGCAGGGAGGGAGCAGCCTGGCAGGGCTACGGCTGAGTGTGCTGGAGCCCGAAGCCTGAGGGCTGCTCCAGGGGCCTGATGTGCGCAAGGGGCACTGCAAGACGGGCCTGCATTTTCTGTTTCCTCCTCTGAGGCGGAGGGAGAGGAAGCAGGGTCTTCAGTTTCTAAAACTGACCTTCCTGACAGTAAGGTCCAGTGGATCAGCCAGTGCAGCTGGTGAAACGGCCTTTTCTGGAGCACCTAGGAGGGCGGCTTTTCTCATTGCTGCAGACAGGCAGTCTGTGCTCCCGCGTGCACATGTACACACACACATGTACATGCACAGACACCACTACCAGGCCCCCTTCTGGTACCAAAGCCTTTGAGTCATATTCAGCATGAACAGATGCTCAGTGCAGGGTAGGTTCGGAAGCTCCCAGGAGCTGGTGCTGCCAGGGAGGGTCCAGGACAGGGAATGGCTGGTGCTGTGAGGGAGGACCCAGGACAGGGAACGGGAGAGTGGATCCCCCTGTTCCCCAGAGCTCCAGCTCACACTTGGAATACGTTTTGCCCTTGACTGGGTCTCCGGAGGCTGCAGCTGGTAAAGGTAACCGCGGATCCAACCCCCCCAGTCCCGTCCCCGCGGATCCTCCCCCTCCAGTCCCCTCCCCCCGGACCCTCCCCCCGCCCCGAGTCCCGTCCCCGCGGACCCTCCCCTCCCGAGTCCCGTCCCCGTGGGGCCTCACCTCGTGAGTCCCGTGGTGCGTCACCTTCACCAAGACCTCCTTCTGTAGGTCATAGCCCTTGGAATCTGATGATGCCAAATTCTTCACCTTCAATTCCATGTTAAGTCCCTGGTAAAAGAAACACTTCTCACTCAATAATTGTACATTCGCCGGGCACAGTGTCTCACACCTGTAATCCCAGCACTTTGGGAGGCTGAGGCGAGTGGATTGCTTGAGCCCAGGAGTTCAAGACCACCCTGGGCAACATAGCGAAACCCCATCTCTACTAAAAATACAAAAATTAGCCGGGCATGGAAGTGCACGCCTGTAGTCCCAGCTACTTGGGAGGCTGAGGTGGGAGGATCACTTGAACCTGGGAAGTGGAGGTTGCAGTGAGCCACGACTGCACCACTGTACTCCAGCCTGGACAGCAGAGTGAGACCCTGTAAAAAAAAAAAAACAATCCTACATTCACAGCTCATACCACTTTTGCAATTGCTTTTTCATCCTCCCACCCTCCAGCTTCCTAAACAACGAATGGATAAGACTCTCTAAGAAGGTGTCCCACTCTTGCCCCTTGGATTTCCCACTAAGAGGAAGGACAGAGCACCAGTTTTTCTCCGATATATCCTGGAACTAACACTTGGAGTCCCTACCAAATTGATTAAATCTCTTACAAGGTTCCGGCCGATGGGAGCTCATGTCTCCAGGGAGCTGTCCCCGGCCCGGGTGGTCTCTGTGGCACAGCAGCCATCAGGGTGCCTAGACCCGGAGAGGCCCCAGGACCATCTGGGAGGGCCTGCTCATGGCCAGTGAGAGTTGGTCTGGGATCCTGATGGCCCTGGTAGGCTGTTGGTGAAAGGAATGGTGCTCGGGACTGGGCTGGGCAGTCTGGCTTCTGTCGCTAGTTCCCTGAGAGTCCTTGAGAAGGCGCCCCTGCCCCACAAGGGGCACCTGGCATACCAGCTCCTGGCTCTGGCTAAATTACCTTCTTCAGCTCTTCACTCATTTGATTTGCTTCTGCAACCAGCGGCATCAGTTTGATGTAGTCCTGGAATGCAGCCAGGACACTGGGGTCTGCCTTGCCGTCTCCACCATCCGCAGCACTTGGCAACAATCACAGGGGAGGTGAAAGTCAGTCACTTGTTCCACCATGAATTTTTTTTTTTTTTTTTTTTTTTGAGACACAGTTTCATTCTTGTTGCCCAGGCTGGAGTACAGTGGCGCCATCTCGGCTCACTGCAACCTCCACCTCCCGAGTTGAAGAGATTCTCCTGCCTCAGCCTCCCAAGAAGCTAGGATTACAGGTGTGTGCCACCACACCTGGCTAATTTTTGTATTTTTAGTAGAGACGGGGTTTCACCATGTTGGCCAGGCTAGGCTTGAACTCCTGATCTCAGGTGATCTGCCTGCCTCAGCCTCCCAAAGTGCTGGAATTAGAGGTGTACAGCCATAAGCCACCATACCAGGCCCTTTTTTTTTTCTTATTTCTTTTTCTTTATCTTTCTTTTTTTTTTTTTTTTTTTTTTTTTTTTTTTTTTTTTTTTAGCTTTCTTGCTCTGTCATCCAGGCTAGCCTTCAGTGGCATGATCTCTGCTCATTGCAGCCTCCACCTCCTGGACTCAAGCAATCCTCCCATCTCAGCCTCCTGAGTAGCTGGGCCTACAGGTGCAAGCCACCATGCCTGGCTAATTTTTTAAATATTTTGTAGAGATGAGGTCTCACTTTGTTTCCCAGGCTGGTCTTCAACTCCTGGGTTCAAGCGATCCTCCTGCCTTGGCCTCCCAAAGTGCTAGAATTATAGGCACGAGACACCACGCCCAGTCACCATGAATAAATTTGTATGCTTATTTGTTCCTTCATTCAGCTGCTCATCAAATATCTACATTTTAAAATTACAAGCATGTAATTAAAAAAAAACTGAGGGGAAAACGACACTGCCTGACTTCTCCTTATGTAGCTGCTTATCTCAACCCATGCATCCTGGCCGCAGGCAGCAGACCCTCTGCCCTCAGTTACCATTCTTGGTCTCAGGGTCGTTGAGCCAAGGTGGCTCCAGACTGGAGGAGGGTGGGGCGGGGTGAGACATGGCTGGCTAGACACAAGGCCTGGAGGTGACCTCGAGCTGCTGCTGGCATAGCAAGCGACCTGTGCTTTTCTTATACTTGGGATGGCTTGAAGGAGAGGCTTGTGGAAATTATGGAAGGATCAATCTCCCTCTCAAACCCAGGCTGGTACTGACTCTAATCAGCAAATCTCAACTCTTTAGAGACCCCTGGCCTGTGGGTGCACACAGTGCCCTTGGCCCTGAGGTCTGACTCCAAACTGCTCACACAGCTGCTGCCTTGTTGGGGACCCAAGTCTTCACTAGGGTCCGAGCCAGGGTCTGGGGCTGGTTCAGCTTCATGGCGCCACCAGGGCCACAAGGGCAGCGGCACAGTCAACCTCGGAGAGAAAGTCAATGAACAGATGGCTTTTCCAGGCCTGGTATGAGAGTCTTGCTGGTTCGTTGTTTTTTTTTTTTTTTTTTTTGAGACGGAGTCTCGCTCTGTCGCCCAGGCTGGAGTGCAGTGGCCGGATCTCAGCTCACTGCAAGCTCCGCCTCCCGGATTCCCACCATTCTCCTGCTTCAGCCTCTTGACTAGCTGGGACTACAGGCGCCGCCACCACGCCCGGCTAGATTTTTTGTATTTTTAGTACAGACAGGGTTTCACCGTGTTAGGAGGCCAAGGAAGGTCACTGAGGGGCTTTCCAAAAGGGGAGTGGCCAGTCCCCACGTGCCTGTCCTGTCTGAAAGGCTGTGGCCACCAGGGCTGCTGGGAAGCTGGCAGGGGCCCCAGAGTTTGCAGATTGGAGAGGAAGAGGCAGCGATGTTTGCAATGGTCTTGGACTCCTGACCTCGTGATCCTCCCGCCTCGGCCTCCCAAAGGGCCGGGATTACAGGCGTGAGCCACGGTGTCCGGCCTGGTTCGTTTTTAAAAGTTGAGAACTTCGGCAGCAGAAGAGCAAGGAGGTGAATTTCAAATCGATATATTTTGCCGAAATTCTGAGAGAAACACTGTGGTGTAGGGAACAGGGAGGAACTCGTGCATACACACAGGTGGGTCTGCCCACTTTCCACCAGCGGTGTCATTACTGCAAGTTCAGGCACAGTCCCGCTGCTGAGCAAAGCCTGGGTCCCTCCAGGAAGCCCGCACACCACTGAGATCTCAGCGGGCTCTAGCCTCACCTGGATTCTGGGGGAACCACCCGGAGCACAGTGAATCGGGGCAGGAAGAGGAGCAGGAAGGCCTGTGAAAGCCCCAGAGGAGACAGGCAGCGCCGGGCGGCCAGCCTCAGGTATTGCCGAGGGCTGCGTTCAGAGGAGAAGGGGAGATTCCGTCTCAGAGGCCTCGGTTGTGCGTTCTTCTGGGCCATGCACTTCCAGCCCAGAGCAGGCCCCAGCCGGCCCCTCCTGAGCTGGGCCACTGTTTCTGCAGGCCCAGCAGGCCCCTGGGGGCGGCCGGAGGTCACTCACCGGCTTCTCTAGCTCAGCATTCTTCCTCATTTGCTGTGTACCCCACTCTCTTCTCTACCCCTTTGAACCATCTTTACCCTCATTCGTCATTTAACGAGTTGAATGTTTAACGTGTACTCACTCTATATGGAAATCATAATTCAATTTTGTAAACATTAGACTTTGACAAAACAAATGATGATTTTCTTAAGGAAAGCAGAGAGACAGAGTGTGAAATTGCTGCTGTCAGATCAGCACACGGGAGAGGCCAGCAGTCAGGAGGGGTCACCGAGTTTGTCTGTGCTGACTCCCTCCGCGGCTGCCCTCTCCAACTGGAAGAAGTCGTCATCGAACCTGCTCAGGTCCTCACTGCCCCGCTCCGAAGGAAATCCCACGTACAGGTAGGTGCTGTTGGATCCCAAAATCAGGCGGTCCTGGGGAGGAGACGGTGGGCTTAGGAGGCGTTTGAGACCAAGGAGGGTAAGGTGAACCTCCCCAGTGAGAAGGACCTGAGGAATGTCCTTCCCTCAGGAATCCCACAGACAGGGAGAGACCCAGACAGGAGGGCAGGTGGCGTCCGGCTCCTGCATTCACCTTCATCGCACACATTGAGGGCGTGACTCCCTTGGCCCTGGGGGTCTGTGTGGACCACCCAGAGCCAGGCCCTCCCTCCACGCGTTTCCAGGCTGGGCTGGGCGAGTGCAGCCGTGGCTGCGGGGACACCAGGGACTAACGCAGACTGTAGGCTAGAGAAGGCGTCTTCCAAGGGGTGATGCTTAAGCTAAGCCCTCCCAGCTGGTGAGTCTTGGTGGGGCAGAGACAGCTGCTGAACAACCAAAAGAAGGGCGGTGTGGCCAGGGACAGGAGGCTGAGGGAGGTCACTGAGGGGCTTTCCAAAAGGGGAGTGGCCAGTCCCCACGTGCCTGTCCTGTCTGAAAGGCTCTGGCCACCAGGGAGGGGCCAGGGCTGCTGGGAAGCTGGCAGCAGCCCCAGAGTTGGCAGATTGGAGAGGAAGAGGCAGCGACGTTTGCAAGATGCTGTTCAACCCCTCTCAGCGACAGGCTCTTAGAAAAATCTAAAATTGGCCGGGCGCGGTGGCTCAAGCCTGTAATCCCAGCACTTCGGGAGGCCGAGACGGGCGGATCACGAGGTCAGGAGATCGAGACCATCCTGGCTAACACGATGAAACCCCGTCTCTACTAAAAAATACAAAAAACTAGCCGGGCGCGGTGGCGGGCGCCTGTAGTCCCAGCTACTCGGGAGGCTGAGGCAGGAGAATGGCGTAAACCCGGGAGGCGGAGCTTGCAGTGAGCTGAGATCCGGCCACTGCACTCCAGCCTGGGCGACAGAGCGAGACTCCGTCTCAAAAAAAAAAAAAAAAAAAAAAGAAAAATCTAAAATGGCACAAAATGTTGGAGCTGGAAGGGACCTTGGAGAACACCTAGTTCAGCCCTCCTTGTTTTCCAGGTGAGGTCAGAGGAGTGAAGTGACTTGCCCAAGACCACACAGCGAGTCAGGAGCAGGCCTGTCCCTCCAGCAGCGGTGCCATGTCGTCCCCGGACCATGGTGGCAGACGAGCCGGTGTGAACGCCCCATCCTGCCACGTCTGTGATGTGGGCACCTCACATGACTGTCCCCTCCCAGCTCTTGGGGGGGACCTAGGACATTCTGTGGGCCTGCAGGAAAGTTTACCAAATGCTGCAGCTTTGTCCTTGTGGCGATGGGCACCCCGTTAACGGCAACCTTGCATTTGCTGTGTGGAGTGACCGTCACTTTACCGTCGGCATTTGTGAAGGAAGCGTGTTTATCTGAAATTCTAAGAAGACAAGAGTCAGTCTAAGACGCCCAGCCAGTGGCGGCTTTTGTGAGCAGGTAGGCTGATCTCTCTCATCTGCACAGGAGGGAAGATCTACAGCTGTCGAGGACGGCAGGTGGCATCTCGGGGCCTCCTGTGTGCTGTGGCTCACGGTGCATGGGGAAAGCAGCGGGTGTCGACGGACCCTGCGCTTGGGGAGCATGGGGAGCTGGGAGACAGCAGGCAAGGGCTTCGTTAACAGAACGAACACCAGCCGCAGGCCCAGCACTGCGGGGAGCCGGCCAAGGCCACACTGGAGTCCTCACCCTCCCAGGCCAGCGGGATGGGGTGGTGGGAAAACGGCAGCAAGCAAGCTTCAGAAGAGACGCTCAGCTCAGGAGGCGACTCTTAACGAGCCTCACCTACTCCAGGTACATTTCGATCTGTTTCTGCGTCCTCGCCTTACACACTCAGAGCTTATGTTATCAGACTTGGGGCTGTTTCTGTGTCCTCGCCTTACACACTCAGACCTTATGTTATCCAATTTCGATCTGTTTCTGCGTCCTCGCCTTACACACTCAGAGCTTATGTTATCAGATTTGGGGCTGTTTCTGCGTCCTCGCCGTACACGCTCAGACCTTATGTTATCAGACTTGGGGCTGGACATCAGGGGTGTCAGGTTGGCATCCCCCGTCCCCACCCCACTCCCCAGCACCGGATGTCATCTGTATGTCCTGAATGACTGGCTCCCTGCCTTAGCATGTTCCATGTTCCTGCACTCCTTGGCCATCATGGAATGTTCTGGATGTGGAGACCATGTTCATCCAAACCCTTTTTTGCGTGGGGCCCAGGGATCCTGTGGGAAAGGTCTCAGCCTCCTCGCTGGAGTTCAGACGTTCACGCACCTGTGTGTTAGACTGAGGACGTGTTCTGGAAAGGGACTTGAGGGGATCCCCAGGAAGGTGTCCCGAGAAGGAGGCTGGCAGTGCAGGACGAGGCGGGGCCCGCCGGCCCTGGGTCAGCACCCCTCCCGCTACGAAGGCCCACGGGTTTTCCGACAGGGAGGGGAGCTGGAAGCAGGAGGAGGACCCTCCAGCAGCGGCCTCCCAGGCAGGGTAGCCACAGAGCTGGGGACAGCACTTGACTGCGGGAGGCCCGTCATGGGGTTCCCAGGGCTCCTGCAGGGGCCTTGTGAGGGAGCCCTTGGGGTCACTCCGCAGTCTGGGCTTTCTGTAGTCCAGTGGGTGAGGGCTCCAAGCACCAGGAGAGATCCAAGGATGTGCTTATGTTTGGGCCACCCCTGGTGGGCGTGTTCGTTCAGCTCCCTTCGTTCCCTGGCCAGCTCTACTTACATCTGTTTGTGAAGAATTATTACACAGAACCTAGAAACCAGCTTTCCCTTTTCTCCCAGGGTTGGAGCCCAGGAAGCAAACCAGCACTGCACCCTGGATTTCAGCCAGCGGACGAAAGCCCTGCCCTCAGCTTTCTCAGACCAGCCCTGGAGTGGGTGGCCCGGGGAGACCTGGGAAGTGGCCCTGCTGGTCCTGCAGACTGTGGCTTTGCAGCTGTCTAGATGGAGGGGTCACAGTTCTCTCATGCTGGATGAGGACACTGATGCATGGAAACTCACCCCAAACCTTGAATCGTGATGGCATTTGAGGCAGCCCGACCGGCGTCACATGAACCTGAAAAGAATCAAGATATAATTTATTTTTAAAATAAATCAGACACTTTCAGAATTTGACCCTAAGAAGTTAACATGTCTGATGTGTTGGACGTGACACTTTCTCCACAGCGGGATGGCACTGAAGGGATTTCTGCAATTGGGATTTGCAATCATCGTGGTACTTGGACATACTTTTCTTTCCGCCTTGTGTGTGTGTGTGTGTGTGTGTATGTGGAATGTGTGTGTGGGGGGGAATGTGTGTGTGTGGGGGGGGAATGTGTGTGTGTTGGGGGGGAATGTGTGTGTGTAGTGGGGCAGTGGGGGGGAGTTCCTAACTTTAAAAATTCCACCTTCTTCATGAGCATTCTGGAAGAAGAAACCGTTAGGCCTGAGCCTTAGGAGACCCACTGAATACTGGCCATAGGAGAGGTTCTGGTGTTTGAAGCTCCGTTTCTGTGTAGTGACTGACCCCAAGGAGTGCAGACACGTCACCCTCCACACCCCCACATCCCCCATGGCCATCTTGCACGGAGCCCTCGCGGCCATCCTGGGGGTGCACGGAGCCCTCGCGGCCATCCTGGGGGTGCACGGAGCCCTCGCGGCCATCCTGGGGTGCACGGAGCCCTCGCGGCCGTCCTGGGGGTGCAGAGCCCTCGCGGCCGTCCTGGGGTGCACGGAGCCCTCGCGGCCGTCCTGGGGTGCACGGAGCCCTCGCGGCCGTCCTGGGGTGCACGGAGCCCTCGCGGCCGTCCTGGGGGTGCAGAGCCCTCGCGGCCGTCCTGGGGTGCACGGAGCCCTCGCGGCCGTCCTGGGGGTGCACGGAGCCCTCGCGGCCATCCTGGGGGTGCAGAGCCCTCGCGGCCGTCCTGGGGTGCACGGAGCCCTCGCGGCCGTCCTGGGGGTGCAGAGCCCTCGCGGCCGTCCTGGGGGTGCAGAGCCCTCGCGGCCGTCCTGGGGTGCACGGAGCCCTCGCGGCCGTCCTGGGGTGCACGGAGGCCTCGCGGCCATCCTGGGGGTGCAGAGCCCTCGCGGCCGTCCTGGGGTGCACGGAGCCCTCGCGGCCGTCCTGGGGGTGCAGAGCCCTCGCGGCCGTCCTGGGGTGCACGGAGCCCTCGCGGCCGTCCTGGGGGTGCACGGAGCCCTCGCGGCCGTCCTGGGGTGCACGGAGCCCTCGCGGCCATCCTGGGGGTGCAGAGCCCTCGCGGCCGTCCTGGGGTGCACGGAGCCCTCGCGGCCATCCTGGGGTGCACAGCCGGGGAGGGGAAGCCAGGGGCTCTTGAGGTTCTGGGCGCTGTGTTCCAGCCTGTTCATTTAGGTCAGGAAGACAGCTTAAGGGCTGATGCCCTCCTTAGAAACCGCTAAACAAAAATGTAACAAGAACCATGCCAGGATAATAGATAAATAAAACGTGCTGTATACATCGGAGAGAATGCTTTTCAGCCTTCAACAAGAAGGAAGAAATTCTCAACACATGCTACATGGATGCACCTTGAGGACATTCTCCTGAGGTCATAAAGCAGTCAGAGAAAGATGAAAACGTCGAGGTCTCCCCATCTTCGAATCCACACAGACAGAAGGTGGGACACACTCCCGGGTCTGGAGGGGGAGGGGTTATCTGAGGCCCCCATCGTCAAACGCACAGACAGAAGGTGGGACACTGGCTCCCGGGGCTGGAGGGGGAGGCGTAGCTCGCGTTTCATGGGTACAGAGTTTCCGTCTGGGAAGATGAAAATGTACTGCAGATGGATGGTGGTGACGGTCACACAATATGAATGTACTTAATGCCACTGAACTGTACTCTTAAAATGGTTAAAATGGTGAACTTTATGTATATTTTACCAAAATGAAAAATATTTAAAAAACAAGAAAGAAAAGAAACATGCCTGTGGGGCAAGAAGCATGAGCAGGGAGGGGACGGGGGTGGGGGAGGGCGGGGGAGGGCAGGGTCGGGAGAAGGCAGGGTGGAGGCGGGTGGAGGCAGGGGGAGGGCAGGGTGGGGAAAAGGTAGGGTGGGGGCAGGGGCAGGGGCAGGGCAGGGTTGGTGCAGGGGAGGGCAGGGGGAGGGTGGGGTGGGGAGAGGGCAGGGCAGGGCAGGGACAGGGGGCCGGCGGAGTACCAGGTTGAATGAAGTACTTGAGGACCCCGGTGAGCTGTGGGTCCTCGTTGACATTAAGAAGGTGAGGGAAGGTCACCATCTGCCGCTCCTGCAGGAGAAGTGGAGAGGGTGGGCATCGCCAGTCCGCACCCGCCCACCCGGGAGGGCAACACTTCTTTCCCGTCTCCATCCACCTGGTCAGCCCGCCTGGGGAGGGAGGAAAGCTGAGAGGGGCTGGGGCAGTGCTGATGGCGGGGTGGAGTCTCAGGCAGGCCAGCCGTCAGGAGTCCGAGTACATCTGGATGGGACAGTTCCAAGAAGCCGTTCTCCCCGCTGCTCTCCCCAGCTGTCTGCTCCCCCGCCTGGGCAGCCCCTCCCCCAGGTCTCCATGCAGCCTCTCATTCTCCCGAAGTGCTGCTGGCTGGTTGAGAATCAGATGTTGATGGCAAAAAGTGGGGTATGGCACGAACCCTGGCCTGGGAACCTGAGCACATGTCGTTCGTCCACACAAGGATGGATGGATGGTGGGCAGGGATTTAACAGTAAACAAAACGGGGATGATTATGCAGGCATGAGGAAGACTTTTACAGCTTGCAATCCTCTCTGACAAGGAGTAAACAGAGCAAAAATCCTTCCAATTTTACTGTATATGCAGAACCCCAAATCCCGTATTCCTCCATGTGACCCTACTTGACCGTTGATGCTGAGAGTCCCAGCCACCACTTACACAGAACGTGACTCAGCACGGCTCTAACCGTCCGGCTCTAACCGTCCGGCTTCCTGATGCCACAGACCCCACCCTGCTCCACCCCCAGGCCCTGAGGCCGTGGTTAGGCAGCGTGAGCTTCCTGAATCCCCAGCTCCAGTCCCCAAGTACTCCAGGTCTGATTCTCGACTTCGGGATTTTCCCAGGGCCTTGTGGCTACAGGGAGTGGGGTGGGTGGAAGCCAGGGTGGCGAGGGGAGGCCGAAATTCACATCATAGCCCATTTAGGGTGTGATATCAGCAAATGCCAGGATCGATACCTGGCCTCACGCCCCGCCAGGCACCGAGGCCACCCTGCTTCCCTCGCTTGCATGCTCAACGTGATGTTCTCTCCCTAGCTCTGCCAGTAGCATCATTACCAGTCACACGTTACACATGCACCGAAAAAGCCTCGACACAATTGGGCCTGGCCCCCTGCCCTGGGCTCACTCAGCCTCCGCAGGTGCCAGGAGTGAAGCTCACCTGGGCCTGCTCCAGCAGGTGTGCCCAGGTCACCTGATCAGCAGGAGTCCCCATCTGCGGCTCTGCCCGGAGACAGGCTGAAGGCTCTGGAAGGAGGGAGGCTTTTTAAGCAGGGGGTCTGCAGTGCCGAAGGGAGGCGCGGGATAACCAGGGAGTCTCCGCTCGTTTCTCAAAGCCCGGGATCCCGGCAGCAGCAGGAATGCACCACGCTTATGCGTGAAGACGAGATCTTTTGGTAAGTCCTACAAAGAGGACTAATTATCCTCCTAATTCGTAAGACGTTAGGGCAAGAAGGTCCTTTAACGGGGAGGCAGGAGTTCAGTGCTCTCTTATTTTTGTACTTGCTCGGGCTTGTGAGGGCGTTTCACGTGATTTCTTGCTACGGGGAACTCCCATGGGGTGGGGGATTTGGGAAGATTCATAGGATTACACTGTTTTCCACGTAGTCCGTGTCTGTGCTGGAGAGCAGTGGGGGTTACGGGTTACGTGTAGGTCCACATCTGGCATGTCAGGTTTTGATGGTACAGAGATTTGCGACAGGCAGAGCCAGGCCCAGGCCAGCCACACACACGTGTGCGCTGATTCTGATTTAGGGAGCGCTTTGTTGAGGTTGAAGCCTCAGCGAGTCCGGTCGTGTGCCTGGGAAGGGCCAGGTGGGGCTCGGGGCTGGCCCACCCTCTGTCTGAGCCACACGTCCTTTGGGTAGCCTGGCATGACCGGTAGGGCAAGGGGTACAGGAGGTCCCGCCACCACCCGAGGGCCCCCAGGAGGGAGGGAGCCCATTCGATATTGCTGCTTTGATGCCGGACGCTCATGCCAATTTCACCCAGTAGTTTTACCTTTTTGTCCATCTCATTTTAAATCATTAATAAGCATAAAACGATATATACCTTTATGCTGCCAAACTGCAATCGAAGGCCTTCACCTATCATGGGGGCTCTGGATAATTGCGCATGTTGGAATCACCTGGGACACTTTAGTGCTAACGGCTGCCCGGGTTCTGGTTTATGAGGTTGGGGGATTTAGGGCTGACCGCTGCCTGGGATTCCGGTTTATGAGGTTGGGGGGAGCCCTGTCACCAGGCAGCTGTGATGCACAGGCAGGATGGAACTCCGTCTTGGAGGAGGTGGCCAACCCTCAATGGGCTTCCGGCGTCATCTCGCCGCAGGAAGCCCTCAGCGGGCAGACATCAGGTGGCCACTGTCCAAATCCGGTAAGGGAAAACATCCTGGGAGAAACAATGTCCTCAAAATAAAAATGAGGCTGGTCGCGGTGGCTCACGCCTGTAACCCCAGCACTTTGCAAAGCCGAGGCAGGAGGATTGTTTGAGCCCAGGAGATGTAAGGCTGTCCTAGGTGGTGATCACACCTGTGCACTCGAGCCCGGGTGACAGAGCGGACCCTGTCTCAAATACCAAATAAAATGTCAATAAAAATGAGAGTAAGATGACCATCTTAAAATTCAGGGCTATTTCTCACAACTGCAAATGAGTCTACATTTATCTCAGTTTTTTTTTAAAGGATGGAATCACAATATCCTGGACAAAGCCCCAGTGCCCCCCACTGTGCCCTAACCACCCCCTCAGATTCGAATCCAGGTGCTCCCTCCACCCCTGGCCCCAGGCTTAGCCCAGCTCAGACCCCCCCATTGCTCAGGGCATCGGCCCCTGACTCGGTTTACCTGACATTATGGAGTGTCTACATCTGGGCAGCAGCTTGCTGTTCTCCGCCCTTGACTCTCTCATCAGTGTCCAGGTGTTGAC